AGAAGCAGAAAGAATAGAAAGTCAAGGAAAGAGGAGCTGTTCTTGGGAGAGTGGCAGCTTTGTAGGCTGTATAGTGGGCTTTGTTTCATAGGCTTCTTGTTTCTCCTTAGCGCTTAACAGCTGTAGTAAGGTAACTTCAGAGTGCAGATTAGTGATAGACGGATAATGAAAAAAAAAGAAAAGAAAAAAGAGAATGTGCCAAGAAGCTTCATCCAGCAGCACCTCCCTGGTGTTGTCAATTATAGGAACCTTTAATTTTACTAGAAAGTCTAACTGAAAAGCTGTTTAGCATTCTCAAGCAGGTTTTTTTTTTTGTTTTATTTTGCTTTTAAGAGACACAAATTTGAAAAAAGCACCATATTACCAGAAAATCACTGTTTCAGGCATCTGGAGAGGGAATGAAACTCAAAAGAAGAGTATTTGTAGACTTTTGCTGCACTTCATGTTTATGCTTCAGGTATGGTGTTTAAAGTGCCTTTAAAGCCAGTGGAGAAAAAATCACGTATAATCTAGTCATGCTAAGCTCAGTGTCTGTGTGCACCTGTTGTAGAAATAAACGCCTGAATGCAAATTTCTTTCAAAAGATATATAAGAACATGGAGATGAACACTCAACATTCAAGGCCCTGCATCATGGAAGCCCAAGGTAACGTACTGCTGTAGATCATAAAGCAAGTAAGACAGAAAACAGGTGAAGGGATGTGAAACACATTTCATCTTTCTTAAGTCTATTTTCTAATGGTCTGGAAAAGTTGGAGAGTGCATCAAAAAGGAATAATTTGCGAACACCACAGCAGGCCCTTACCAAGCTTGGAGATCTGGAGGAACCTCAGAGGGACCAGCCAGAGGTGTAGACTAAGTTCACACTGACTGGCCAAGAGGATCCAGAAGTGCAGGTTTGCAAGCTGAACTTTCTGGCACTTGATTTACAGATAGAAGCAAGAGAATGGGGACCAGAAACTCATGCTCCCTCAGCACACAGTGCCCTGAGAAGGCAGCTTTTAGAGCTAGGCTAACTGCACTGTTTGACTATCAAGCCCAGTGGGAACCGTCTCCTGGCAAATGCATCAGAAGAAACCGACCTTGGCAAATACTCCAGCAGGAAACAAAGGATATTTTTCCAGCAATGGGATGAATTAAATCTGGTGCCAAATTCAGGAGCTCTTGCCTTAGAAGTTAGACTTCTTCAGGTCTTCAGTTAGACTTCGTCAGGTCTAACTATGGCCATGACCAACAACGTATACATTTCACCACCAAAACCACACTATGAGTGGGTGTGAAGCTTTGCAAGTAATGAGTTTGCTGTCCAGCTACAGATTCCAGGCTGCAGCTTTCAATTTCAGTGACCATCTTAGATTCAAAGTCTGAGGAGGCAATCTTTGCCTAAACAGAAATATCCCAGGTGTGAGCACAAGGCATGGAATCATAGGAGAATCTTACAACACCTTCTTCCCCCAGGCAAGGTGGCAACTCAGAGGTACAGAAAAATGCTTTTCTCCCTGGTGTGCTCCCTCCATGCCTTGCTCTTCCCCTTTGTTACCAAAATTTATGAGGTTAAGAAATTGAAATTGATAAATGTATGTTTTTCCTTTGGGAATGGGGGAGAGAGTTAATTGGTGATTTAAGACGTGAAGAGTGGGAGCAGTGTATTTATGGAGCAAAGCAGCCTTCGGCAGCTGAAAACAGGACTGGGTTATACTTCTTCTGCATTAGGAGCGACCTTCATGAGCAGAGGGATATGAGAGAACCAATATACCCTTCCTTCTCTCCCAATGATGGGCTGAACAGAAAGTGCCCTGCAATTTGCCCTCCTTCAGCAGGAAAAAACAGGATTGTCATGGCTGCAATATGCACTTCAGAAGCATGGCTCTCCACAGGGGACCCAGAGAAATGAGAGAGAACAACAGTATTGCAAGAAGTTGGCAAAAGGCTGCAGCTGAATTTAGAAACCAAGAAACAGTCAAGTAAGCCTTTTCTTCTGCTGTACAATCAGAAATATATACATTATGTGGATTTCAAAGAACAAAATCTAGTTACTTTTGCACTGAATTATACTGCTCTTTTGGATTCCCTACTGATCTTAGCCAAGGAGGGGTTTAAAAGTATGAATGTCAAAATGTCAACCACACTGCTTCTTTCCACCTAAGTTGTAGCTCTTGTTTACATAAGCAAAGTGGACCCAAGGGTTTGAAAGGCCTGTCAGGGTAACTGAATGGAGCATGAATCATTTCGCTGGGCACTGCTCTAAATGCTGCTTCTTCCTTCCTCCTCATTCTCGAAGGTCAGATAAACAGTACCAGGAACTGCATCTGAAGCTCTTCCCTGCATGATAGAAGACAGGGATCTTTCTGGAGAGTCCTTGGATAACTGTAACTGTAAGCTGAAAGCAGAAAACTCACCTTGGAGCTAACCATAGATACGCATCTGCTTCTTATCAAGTGTCTTCCTCTCCCCGCCTCATCTTTTAACTTTTTTTTGTGTTTGAATCTGTGTAAATTTTTACCATCAGGAGGTAGGAAATAATGTTTACATAATCTAAGGCAAACACCATTGACAGAAGACTGTGAAAAGTTCCACAATACTTTCCACTTGCTAATTAGCGCCAAGCATTGCGTCATGCCATACACAGCCTACTCTCCAGTGAGCAGACTTCTATCCATCGATCTCTACGTGGGCATTTCTGCAACCCATGTCTTTCAGGAAAATGAAATAAAAGCAGGCTTCTGCCCTTCTTCAAAGCAGTCACACCATTAGAGAATCCTGAACTATACATCTGCAACGGCAGCGCGCTCAAAAAGAACAAGACTTGATGCAAAATGGCATCTGAACCTGTAAATTTAATTATCTTTCAATAAATAACTGCATCTATTCTGCAGGCAACACGCAGCTGTGACACACACATTTTTCACGCTTCTGAGAGACTAATACACAAACAGCATCAGGCTGTAACATCCCTCAAATATAAGAATGAGGAAACCCTGGTGAGTTCCACTACCATGAATAGCAATCTGCAAATCTAAACAGGAGGAAAGAGATTTTTAACATGTGAGGTGGAAAACAGTAAACGTAACCTGAAGGAAAGACAGAAATGCAACTTCAAGCACTGTGTTCAGACACTTAAAACATGTAAGAGAGATCTGATAGTTGAAGGCAGAGCACTTTCCAGTTTCACCGAGAAAAGCTGCTAGAGAAACCGGCCTGCAAAATACGAAATATTTTCCTAGCAGTGATGATAAATACTGGAATGTTTTCCAGGAGAAGTCATGAACTGCCACTTGAAAACCTGTGAAGGTACAGGGGGCTTTCATTTAACTTCTGTGAGACCCATTACAGGTCACAACAGATGATTACAGAGGTTCCCTCTGGCCTGACTCTCCATGAATTTGCGAATTTTACAGCTTCATCCTGTGGGGCCAAGGCATTTTGGCTCCAAACCAGCAACGCACTTACGCGCATGCTGCAACAAAAGCTTGCTTCCTTTACTGGAGCAGGGCCAGCGCGATCAACCTCTCGCAGGACAGGCACAACTATCTTTAGCCATCTCAGCATCTGATCACTTTGGGATTTCTTTGCTGCAGTAGCAACAAGAAGCTTCCAACAGCAAGGGCTTAGAAAGCTGAAACTTCAAAAGCAGTGGGATACCTTTAATTCTTGCTTATCTTCCATCTATTCTGCTAAGGTAAAAGGGGGTGAAAATGCCGGTTTAGAGTTTTTAATTATGGGTTTCGCTCGGCAATAATTTAATTCAGATTAGGAAAGACGAATCGAGGCAAGTTACTCTAGGAAGATGCGCAAATGACAAACTATGCCTTTCTCCAAAGATAAACTTAATGTAATTACTCACTTGAAAAAAAGGATTAAATCAATACCTCATGGCTAGAAATCCATGCATGCTGGAAAAACCTAACTTGAACCATTCTGAGTAGTAGATTGGAAAGGATGTGAGGCATTAGGTAGGTTCAAACATACATACATACGTAAAACATATATACATGTATTTCTATACACATACAGAAATAAAAAAAAAAATCATTAATAAAAATTAATTGGAATATAGACAAAGGATCCTGAAAAAGCCTTCACTTCAAAAAAATAATGGGAGATGGAATTTTTATGAAATAGAGGCCAATCTGGCAACAAACAATCCAAAGCCCATCTGGCCTACTTGGAAACTATTTAATTATTATTTTAAATTATTCAATGAAATTAATTAAAAACTTCTACATTTCCTCCTTAAACTCAGCATGACATCCTTTGAAGCTGTCATTTACTTTCAGGTTGTAACAGTCATTTAATTTCTGGTGGTCCAAATCTCTTGCCAAGAAGAATTTCTTTCATGTATCCATGACATTTTCCTACCTTTTTTCTCTCCCTAGTACCTTACATAATTCAAAAGAGTATCTTGATTGTTCAAAATCCTGCTTTTTTTTTTGTTGTTGCTGGTGTGGGTTTTTTTCTTTTTTTTTTTTTAAGTGAGCTGATAACTGGTAGGTTAGTATGAGTTTCCTTTACCTACATCAAGAAACCTTTTGCTCTTGATAAAATACAATGACACGTATCACGCATTTTCAAGAAAGGACAAAATTATGGCCTATGAAATTCTGAGCTAAGCACATTTCCAAGATTTTATAGTTGATTTAAGATGATAGAGGTGAAAATAGATCTGTCTGAATTTATTTTTAAAAAATGAAAGAAATAAAATGTGCTTTAATTCATCTTTTAATACCTAGAACAGCATACGTATGAAGCAACTCTGTTTTATCCATTTAAGCGGAAGCAGAAGCAGCAGGATGGAAATACTTCCAGCCCTTAACACTGTCAGAGTAAGGCTTGAGAATGAGTGGGAAATGAACACGTCTAGATTTTTGCATGTTCTCTTTCCAACGTTAGAAAAGATCCGGCTACAAGGTATTTCCAGTACCCATTCAGAACAGCTTATGTTTATCTCTTTCATCCTGTCTATAAAGGAACTGTTGTCAAAACACTGATTAACTTACAAACCTGTCAGATTTGGTCTCTTGAGGCGGCGAGAGAGTTGTCCCATAACGAGAAGTGGGTGTTGTTGGGGCACTCACACCAGAGTAAGTTCGCGGGGAAGAGTAAGAGCTGCTGCCGTAGCTATTGTATCTGAAGCAATGGGAAGGAAAGGAGGAGAAAGGGAGAGACAGAAAGAATCCATCAGCAAGCAGGCACGCAACAGTAAATCTTCTTGTTTAGGGGGTGGCGGTGATTCCATACCCCAGAACTTCTCAAACATCCACTTTCTGAAAATATTGCTCTAGTCCCAGCTTCCAAATATGCAACCTATCATCTCATTTTAATATCAAGCATGTCATGGACATACTTGATTCAAATAGTGAGCTATTGGTATGGAAAAAAATGAGACATTAGAATGGTCCTCCCAAGTCACAACTCAGAGCACTAATATTTAAATTACCGCTCAGTTACTCAAATTTATTAGCTGGTTTGGGAGCCAATACCCAGCCATTAGAAAAGGGACCAAACCAGTCCAAGTCAGCAGTATTCATATCTAGTGAAATTAAGGAAAACAGCAGCATTCCTGAGACATGATCTGAACATGGACACCCATGATTTGCGAATGTTTGTGTTACAAATGAAAAGCATCCACATTCTTTACAATTAAAGCAGGCGGTATTTTCTTTCCCCTCCCCCAACATAAGTCATAGATTATGTGCCATTTCTTACAATGTCTGTAAAAAATCATCACCATGGTTAAAAAGATATGTCTCCGGAAGCATGGCTTTAGGAATTTCTACCAGCCATTCCCTCTATTAAAAAGAAACAAAACCCAAACCTGCTTGACTTCACTGAGAGCTTGCTGATCAAAGAGAAACTGTTTCCAGGACTCCTGGAACGGCCACCTCCCAAGAGTCCCTTGTATCAATGTTTTCATTCTGACTCCCGTACTGAATAGAAAAGGCAGTTGTGTTGCTTTGCTGTGCCTTTTAACCATCGTACTTAAAGAGCACGTCAAGGAGGGATTCCCAATTTGGGAAAATCTTAACATTTCTGTTCACAGATGATACCATTTTCCCATGTGGAAAGCACATGATGCTCTGTAGGTGAGTATGCCGCAAGGCCAACTCACCCAAGCAACAAAATTAACTTCAGGAAAAAGGGCAACATCATTTTCCTTATTGTAATTCGTAAGATATAATATACCCTCCTTCACCATATCTTTTCTTCTGCTGCTTCTTCTCCCACACACATCAGCACTCAGTAATTTCACTCAGCAATTTTATTTGAAAAGGCTGGTTGGTTTCCTTCAGCTCCATTTAGCACACTCATCTAGCCATGCAAAATTTCATTCAAAGTTTCAAACTTCATTCCTTAGGGTACAGCAGCATTGCTGCCTGCCAAGGCCCGTGTTAAAATCAGAACAGATTTCAGTTAGGGGTTTTTATAATGGAAGGGATCGTGCTTTAGAGAACATGCCCCTTTGGCAATAATTCCAGGTTTATGTTTTAGAAAACACCCTACCACCACCATCTATTTTTGAGACACCATGCTGACTGCCCAAGAACACAGGAATAATTTTGGAAAAAAATGCTAACATGCACATTTCTGACCTACAAAAGGAATTTTGCCGAATGGGAAATAATTGCCTTCCTGGCATTCCT